AAGTGCAGGGTCCTGCACCTAGGGAGGAAGAACCCCAGGCACCAGTACAGGCTGGGGGTTGACCTGCTGGAAAGCAGCTCTGCCGAGAAGGACCTGGGAGTCCTGGTGGACAACAAGTTGACCGTGAGCCAGCAATGCGCCCTTGGGGCCAAGAAGGCCAATGGTCTCCTGGGGTGCATTAGGCAGAGTGTTGCCAGCAGGTCGAGGGAGGTGATCCTGCCCCTCTCCTCAGCCCTGGTGAGGCCTCGCCTGGAGTACTGTGTCCAATTCTGGACTCCCCAGTCCAAGAGAGACATGGCACTACTGGAGAGAGTCCAGCGGAGGGCTACAAAGATGATGAGGGGACTGGAGGGTCTCTCCTCTGAAGAAAGGCTGCGAGAGCTGGGCCTGTTCAGCCTGGAGAAGAGAAGACTGAGAGGTGATCTCATCAATGTGTATAAGTATCTGAAGGGAGGGTGTTGCGAGGATGAGGCCAGACTCTTCTCTGTGGTGCCCAGCGACAGGACAAGAGGCAACGGGCATAAACTGAACCACAGGAAGTTCCATCTGAACCTGAGGAAAAACCTCTTGACTGTGAGGGTGACAGAGCACTGACACAGGTTACCCAGAGAGGTAGTGGAGTCTCCTTCGCTGGAGATATTCAGAACGCACCTGGACGTGATCCTGTGCAATGTACTCTAGAGGGCCCTGCTTGAGCAGGGAGGTTGGACTCTGCTCTGGAGATGATCTCCAGAGGTCCCTTCCAACGTCAACTGTTCTGTGATTCTGTAATGCATCCGTTTTTGCTGAGATGTTTGCACAGCTGGGAGAAAGAAAAATGAGCAAACAGGAAAGGCCTGCCAGCTTTCCCTTCTCCTCCTTTCTGTCATATGAGTAAGGAGCAAGATGTACGTCAACATCTTAGGCTGATCCGTGGAAACAACGTGAGGATCTCCTCAGCAGCATATCGTGCTGGTGATTCTGTAGGTCTCTGTCATCCATACAGGTGTTTTCCATGCTCTTAAATAGTAACACTGTGCATTAAGGCAGAAAGCAGAGGATGCTAGTATGGCAATATTTGGGGGAAGCAGCCAAGGGAGCAGATTGCGTTGACTCATGCGCTTTGCCGTATGTTCTGGAGCTGGCACTGGTGGAGGTGGCCTGGCTGCAGCCACTCTAACCAGTGGGATGTCTGGGGCTCCGGGTGTGACCAGCATCCCTCGGTCCTGTGGACCCTGCCTCAACTGCCCTTTTTAAAGTTCCTGGATGGTATCCCTTATGTTTCTTTTTTCCAAATGAATCCCTATCCATTTCCCTTTCATACACTGCTTCCTCCTGTG